GTAGTTGCTCGACCCCGCGGCGAGGTTGTTCGTCGGCGCGGTGTTCGCCGCGCCCGCGACGAGCCCGAGGTGCGGGTACGCGGCCGCGCCGTTCTGCCAGCCGGCCGTCAGTGTTCAACGGTCAGAGTGTGGAGCGGAGGACGCACGGACGTAGCGATGTCCAGCTGGCTAGCGGTGGACGCGGAGCTGCAGCTGGACGTGCCAATGGAGACGCGGAGGGCGCCCGCGAGGTTCGTGGAGACGCCGTAGTGGCCGTACGTGGTCATCGCGGCGCCGACGTAGCCGAGAACACTCCCGGTGTCGGCGCTGGTGACTTGGAGGACGCCGGAAACGCTGTATTCACAGGGACACACCTGAGCGGTGCGGTGGGGCGATGCTGGGGAATAAACACGTACGTGGTGGTCGGGCAGGCGGACGGGACGGCGCGCTCGGCTGTTCAATAGTAACAACCACCCACGAAACGAGATGAGCGTCGCAGGCCCGCAATTTCAAAGATGCACGCAGCGCACGTACCGAACCGGAGCTTGGCCTTGTCCGACCGCGGCTTGGGCTTGCGGAGGGGCAGCCCCCGTGCGAGCCGCTGGGCGTTGCTCAAGTCGGCGCGGGGGGCGGGTGCCCTCCTCTCCAGCGGCTTCAGCGTGATGCCCTGGGGGTCGATGCTGGCGAGCCCGTCCTCCAGTGCTTGCAGGCCCGACGTCGTAGTCGGCTTCGCGTGGACGAGGGCCGCGGTCGCGACGAGGACGGTGAACAGGGCTTTTGCGCAGAGCATTGCGCAGAGCAGTTAGTAAAGGAGTGAAGAGGGTAAGGAGAGTGTTAGCGTTGGCGCAGAACCGGAGGGTCAGCGATGAGAGGCGTGGATTATTGCATGTCTCGGTTTTGAAGACGGGCGTGTGGGCCGTTAGCGCCGGGGAAGGCACCGACCAGGAAAATCGCAATCGTGCAATTAATTGCGAGGATGTGGCTCAAGGTACATGCCCTGTTCAGGATAGCGGGTTGCCATATCGGGCGATGGTGCCTGGCTGTCCAAGTTGACATTGACATTGACAGGCTGGCGTCCGAGGGGGGACGCCTCCGCACGGGCTGCTGAGGATTAAAAGATGTTTATACGATGTAAGACGTACAATGGTGTACAACCGCTCGGCAAGGTAATAATATGCAGCACCCTCTCAATGCCCCTATGTTCAACCACTAACAGCAGCCACTAATACAGCCGGGCCATCGACGGGCCCGATAGCAGCATGCCCCCCGGGTTTTGAGGCCCTGGCTGCGGAGGCGGGGACGAAAATGGGTTGCCACCGAAAGGGACGAGTGCTTGTGCGGGCGGAGACTGGGCGAATATCTCTGCAGAGGACATCTCCCGCCCGTGCATCATATACGCGAGGCGGAGCTCCTGGAACGCGATGGAGACCAGTTGAGCAGCAGCTCCCACTCCTGCTGCAAGCGCACGACGCACCTCGAAGCTATGCTGATTATACTGCGGCGCCGTGCATATGGAGAGCAGCTTCGCGTCCCCGTCGTATGCGTACGCCTTCGGCGTCTCTTGTGCCTGCGGGACGTCCATGAGCGACATCGCCATCGTGTCCGTCCGCGCTAGTGGTTGCGGTATCGGCGCGGGCGCTGGTATCGGCGGGATGGGCTGGGGCGGGTACGCCACACCCGCGCGGTATGCATGGACACGCAGCTCCTGCAGGCGCCCCACATCAGCTCGCGGCCACGGGCACGGTGAAACATGAAACTGGAACAAAGGAAGACGTGGTGCGCACCTCCGTAGAGAACCTCGAGAACTCCGGCTGCACCGTGATATTGTGGTAGACGACCCCGCTCTCCGTCATCGGCCTGAACCACTGCACCGCGGGCGGCTCGTGCAGCGCCGAGCTCGTCGAGGGCGTGGGCGCGATTAATGTTGGTGTGGGCACGAGCGGCGACGGCTGTGGTTGGATGGATAGTGATAGCGGCGACGGCTGGAAGGGCGCAGACGAGGTGGAGGCGGAGAGGGACATGGGCGTGGGCTTGAACAGCGGCGGGAGGCCCATGGATGCGCGCAATTGGTCGTCGGAGGGCTGCTGTGGGCAGGGCGCGGGTGGACGCCCGGTTGTGGAGTATGCGCGGAGGTAGTCTTGGATGCGAGTTTCCTGCGGTCGGTGTCATTATACATGTTTCGAGTGTATGGAAGGGGGGATGGCTGAACCTCACCTCGAAACTCATCTCGTTCGGCCCCTGCCCCGTCGCAATGTGCATGAACACCTCCCTGTTGAGTCTCGGATCGCCCATCTTGGCAAGTCACTCAAGTTAATCTAAAAGGCAAAATGTCAGTATAAACCGGGCGAGGAGGGGATGTGGCAAGCGAGTATTGTGGTTGTATGAGCTCGGGAACGTGCCCGAAGCGTGCGTGACCAGGGCGAACGCGCTCGTCACACGGTTCATGCGTCACGTCTTCGCGCCACAATTGCTCTCATCTCCTGAACGACGCGCACAGAACTAGGGCCTGCTGTCTATAGCTAGTCGTTTGATTTTCAAAGATTATTTCTACTCTGTGGGATAGAAACTGCTGTCTTGTGGACTCCTCTATCCAGCCCACTCGACAGCTTCCGTCGCCACGGCTGAATCTCGGGCCAGCTTGAACAACCCCCGCGTGTACAAGTCCGCCTGCTTGTCGAGAGCCCCAATCTCGCGGTATCTCTCTGTCCTGATCTTTCTGCTCTCATGGACACCGCACCCTCCGAGATCTTCATGTCCATCGTCTCCTACCCCGGGACCGGCGAGCGCAGCTTCGAGGTACGCACGCCACCTCCCCCTTCTCCTTCCTCGTAACGTCGCATCCCAAGGAACTCCGCGTCACGGACTACATCCACGCATACAGCACCACCGGCGCCGCGCCCGTCCCCTGCGACCCCCTCCCAGCCGCACCCGACCGCGCCGCCCTCGGGCTCTCGCCCGCGTTCGCCCCCGCCGTGATCACACCCGACGTGGAAGCGGAACTGTTCCTGTTACAGATCGATCCCACTCTGCCTCCTTCTGTACGCTCGGCAGTCCCCCCCCCTTCACAGCCGTTCGTTATTCACGATCCGCGTACAGGAGCAACCAATACTAATAGACCACCCGATGGACGGGAGTCCCAGCTCCTCTGCCGCATGCAAGCGAGAGCGCTCGGACGCCTTCACCTCCGCTTCTGCCACACCGCCCCTCCCGATCCCGACGTACATCTCCGACCCCGTACCGCGAGGCACCGTCCTCGCCGAGGGGAACGGCCGTGTGGTGCGTGCACTGCCAGTCCGGCGGCGCGCAGTCGGACAGGCTGCTTGAAGAGTGAGTGGGCATGGTTGAGTCGATTACTGATGAGAACGGACAGGTTTGCTAGTCTCTGAAGGATTTTTGGATATGGGTTTGTCTGTTGTCGTGTATGATTGGTACCTGTAGGTATGCGCATTTGTATTCGTCGATTACACTACATGTAAGGATTAGATGTTGCTCTTTTTTCATGCCTCCATTGCTCGAGTGGACTAAGTGTAGTGTGGCAATGTACCACAAAAGAGGCGGAATCATGCGAGCGAGCGAAGCCGCGAACTTTAACGCAAATGCATGTGGTCCCCCGCGAGGAGCATAACAGCCTTCCAATCGAAGATCGGAAGACCGGCTGACGGTATCCGTCACTCGTCATGGCCCTCCAGTATGATATAACCTGTAAATACCCATAAATACACCCATCAATAGAGGGACATTAGTGACCCAAAACGCAGAAAAGCGGAGCTGAGAGCATTAGACACTATAATCCCTTTCTGCCTCAAGGAACCTTTCCCATTCGACCTGATCCATGTCGTAACTCTCATTCGCCAGATCTGGGAAGCTTCGCTCCTTGACCGCATTCACGAAACCCGTGACGCCCTTCCTCTCTTCCGCCTGCCCGTCCGCAAAGCGCCTTACAAACTTGGCCTTGTGCCCGTGCCAGGTCGCCATGAGATCGTCCCACACAAGGACCTGCCCGCTGGTCCCCGGGCCCGCGCCGATCCCGATCGTCGGTACAGACAACCTGTTCGTGATATGCGTGGCGAGCAGATGCGGGACCGCCTCCAGGACCACGGAAAACGCGCCCGCCGCCTCGAGAGCCAGAGCCGACCGCAGGACGGACACCGCGGACTGCGCGTCCCTGCCCTGCACGCGGTACCCCGAGAGCGACGCGTGCCGCTGCGGTAGAAGGCCGACGTGCGCCATCACGGGGATCCCGATGCTCGTCAGCCTGCGCACCGCGGGCACGATCTCCTCCCCGCCCTCCATCTTCACGCCCTCCACGCCGCCCTCCTGCACGAGCCGCACCGCGCTGCGCACCGCGTCCTCCGCGCTCGCGTGGTACGACCCGAACGGCATGTCCGCGAGCAGGAACGGCGCCTTGCTCCCGCGCGCGACGGCGCGGCAGTGGTGCAGCATCTCGTCCATGGTGAGCTGCGTGGTGCTGTCGTAGCCGAGGCACACTTGGGCGAGGGAGTCGCCGACGAGCGTCATGTCCGCCCCGTACGCGTCGCACGCCCGGCCGGTGGGGAAGTCGTACGCCGTGACCATGGCGATGGGCGTCCCCGCCCTGCGCAGGTTGTGCAGGTGCTGTATTGTGACTTTCTTCCGGGCTTCATGGACGCATCAGATTCAGGATCGGCGACTCAGAACAGAACAGGACTACGCACGTGCGGACCTCTCGCTGGCTATTCCAGTCTCCTTCGCATTCTTATCTGGTGGCCGTACGCTCATCCATCTTCGCCCACCCATAACGGAAGAGCGCGCTTTCAAGCTGGATATCATGGGGTTTGGCCTTGTCATCGTGGTGCTTTCCGGTCGAAGAATTGCGGGCTATTATGGGGACATCGTAGGGTAGATCGGTCGACGAAATAACCAGAAATAAAACTATCCATGTTCGCCAGAATGGTATGATCAATGTGCCGCTGAGACTAAGTGGTATAGCCGGTGGTGTCTCAGCCCGGGAGTGCGTGGTCCGGAGCCGGGATAGGTACAGTTCCCAGCACGTGAGCGAGACGCGTTAGAGTATTGTGGCTTTCGCATAACCCGGCAGTTCTCCTCTGCTGCGATGCTCGCAATTTTTGCTCAACATGTGGGAAGCATTTCTTTCAAGTGCGCTCTTGTGAGTCTGCTTGAGGCTGGCTTAGCGGAGGAAAACTTCGGTGTAGGGGGCGTATGTGCTGCACCGGCACAGGTTCAGGATTCATCATTATTATATTGCAGCCCGTCCCTATTATCTAGAGAACGCTGTTCATTTGCTACGACATCTGAAATATTCTATTGAGAGAAGCTGATGACTGACGTCAAAGTAGCAACGTGTGATATCGCAGGCGGCATCTGTATATCGAAGGCGTCGTAATCTGGGTGGCAAAGAGAAATCTCCTCTTGACATGTCGGATAGGCCCAACGTCAGGGGAGAAAGCATTCCGCTGGCGGAAGCCGTGTGGTAAAGGTCACCGAAGGGTGCCTCGGTGATGTCGCTATCCCCTTGCATCATAGCCGACTACCTGTCTTGTATAGTCCCAGTCACTGGTCCCCAGTACCGTATGCTGGCCTGCTATACTAGACACACTCAGGGGGCCTATGCCTAGCGATCTTTCCATGTCTCCTGAAAACTTGTGTGGCAGAATCGGATGATTGGAGGAAGAGCACGTACCCGTCGACATCGGCCTGCCACCAGGGAGATTGAAGGAGGAAACTCAAGCATACTTCGCCATCAAGGCAAATCAGACAGTGAGGTCCCCTAGAACGAGAAGCACCACCCAAGACACAGAGAATAGTCGCAACAGTCTGGGACAGTGAATGATGCATTTGATGCGGTGGAGTGTATCATTGGATTTACAAACGTAGAGAACGTATACGTTACTGAGTATTCTCTCAGATTATGGAGTGCGAGGCTGTGGGCGCAGTCGGCCTTGGCTTAGTCGGTGGAGAGGTAAAAATTGTCAGTGAGGAGTAGAACGTAAGACACCTATATGTTTGATGGTAAAAGTACGACGCAGGAGGCAGCACAAACGGGTAGCAAGACCTGACCTGGATGACGCCACCGTACAACCTTTGCGCGGCTGCGACTTGCCTAGTTGCTGGAGCAGTGATGATTTTCATGTTCGGACTTACTATTGCAGGTTTCCGTGAACGCGGAGAATGACCAGCCGATCGCATTCACAAAGTGCGTGCATACGAGACGACGCACGCCAACCGCTTGGATTCCAAAACCGTTTGCTGAGAATCACTTGGGTCATGACTCAGCTCAAATTCTGGTTATGCATATCCGTACTTACTGCATGACAGTTACATCCATAGGTGTCTTGCAATAGTCGCTGGGACGCTCCGAGCCCGAATGGACAAGCGAAACAGTTGTATCACAACGCTGCTAGCGAATGGATGCTCCACTCGGCGACCACTAAAGGCTGACCCGATCTAAAGGTGGAGTAGAGTCGCTTAAGGCGTCTAAGGCTGTTCATCACTTCTTGGAGTCACCAAGCTGCGAGAATCGCCCGAAAAGGAAGTCGAGTAAGAACGAGATCAGTCCCAGTGGCTCGCCGGGGTACATTCTCTGGTTGATGTGTTTGATCTCAGGCCACTGAGAACGGGCCTATACAAAGAGAAAGATGGGTCATGAAGGTATATAAGCGAGGCAGAGAACGCTATACGTCCCTCAGAACATTCTAAGCTCACCAACAAGTTCTTTCGATACGATGCGCGCCACTTTCGCACTTACCCTCCTTCTGCCTCTCTTCCTTGCCTCACAAGGCTCAGCAGCACCGGCGGCGAGCGCCAACCCGTCCAGTACGAGCGCATCTGGCTCTGCCAGTGCTAGCGAAAGCGGCGGCTCTGTCACAGGCTCTGTTGCGTCGGGAACTGAGAGTAGTAGCGCTGTACCGAGCGCAAGCCTCGCCTCCTCCATTGGAAGTGCGCCTGGGTCTTCCAGCGCGACCGGAACTGCTTCGAGTTCCGTTGCGTCCGGGTCTTCGAGCGTTTCCACGACCCCCAGTCCTTCGGGTAGTCAACCTTCTGACCCGTCCGGCTTCCCCTGGCCCTCGGGCATCCCTTTCCCACCCGACGTCTTCCCCTCCGGCATCCCCTTCCCCTCCGGCATATTCCCATCGGGCATACCCATTCCTACTCGTTCATTCCCCTCCGGATTCCCTTCGAGCTTCCCCCATCCCTCCGGCTTCCCACATCCGCACCCTCCCGCCTCTCCTTCGCCGAGGGCTCTTGAGGAACATCCCAGCAGCTTCCCGTTCCCAATCCCGTGGCCGCACAGCGACCACAGCGGATTCCCTCACCCTCACCCTGGGAAGCCTACCGGTAGCCCGTCTAGTAGTGGCACCCCGTCTGACCCTACCGCGTCCGGATGCCCGGCTGTAGTGACTGCCACGGTCACGGCGATCCAGTCTGGTAGCGCCTCTGTATCTACCACTGGCACGCCTTCCTCTGAAAGTGCTTCCGCCAGTGGTGCACATTCGAGCGATACGGGTGCTCCCATCAGCATTCCCATCCCACCGCCCGGCACCCCTGGCAAGCCCACGAACCTCCCCTCCTCCGGGGTACCGTCCGGCGCCTCATCCTCCATTTCAAGCGCGCCCAGCGGCAGCCCAGGCAAGCCCACGGACCTCCCCAGCAGTGCTCCAGCTCCATCATCCGGCGCGCCATCCGGCGCGTCGTCCTCCGCTTCGGGCGCCCCCACATCCAGAGGCTCGGCGTACATCTCGTCATCCACCGCGCAGAACAAACGTGCTGCACCCTCCGAGTCCAGCGCCACCGGTGCGACAGGTCCCACCACCGTCGCCCCGCCCTGCCCCCCGGCTAGCACGACAACTGTCACAGTAACTGGGGAGCCCACCGAGACCGTTTCCTCCTCTGACTCGTCTTCTGCGCCTACCGGCACTGCCAGCTCCGGTACTCTGTCCGCCAACAGCGGTACCGCTTCGAGCACGGCTTCTGCTAGCGGCAGTGCAGGGTCGTCGAACATTCACTCCGGAAGTAGCGCGCCAGTGAGCACTCTTAGCATGAGCAGCAGCGCGTGAACTGTTTCCGATGGTACGTGCTGATCATGGACACGTACAAAAGCTGCTTTAGTCCGACTTTACTCACCTGAATCCGCAGAATGCATCGCATATATTGAAAATGTGCCATAATCAAGCTCCGCTCCTTTACTTCAAGACCTATATATCATCTCGCATTGATCACTGTGGACATTCCAAATTTCGCATAAGCTTATTTAATTTATCGCACTCTATATTTATCGAGTTACTCGCCAGAGAGTTCGCCGGAGACTGAGTCTCCGAATGATCGTACTTTTTCCTGTCCTGTAATCCAGAAACGTTCATTATACTACTACCGCGATCATAGTATACAAGCTGTCTCACCCTGTGCCTGAGAATCGCAAGATAATCCGCGCCTACATGAACTGGATGCGATGCTTCGTTCTTTTAGTAGTGAGAAATTTAAGCCATCCTGCCTACGTCGTCGCAGACCCTGGGCTAGTTCAGAGTACCCAGGATTTAGACAAAAGCACTCTGTATACACGACCCCGATGCATGCCGTCATCCAAGCCTTGACATACAGCACACCTATCCAACAAACTGCCAGTCAAAGCTTCTGCTGACTGAGTAGATGGTGACAGTAATCTGCAGAACATGAATTGCGATCGGATTTGCCACAAGGCTTTTCATGTCACGTGGCTGTGGCGCTGCTGCGGTTGGCGACATGTATGTACGAAATTCGGAATTCAGAGTCCGACCTGCACCGATTGTGGCTTCTTCTTGACTTGCATATCGCCACTTGCAATTGCACAAGTATGCGTCGACAGACTAGGAGTAAACCAGCGGATGACCTAAAAGCTCTCAAGAGTAAAGGTACCTCTGTGTCTAATGTTACGGGTGCGGTCCAATACATGCGCTCTTCCAACGACCGACCGAACTCTACGCAACAACCCCAGCTACCTTCGTTGGATGATCGGGACGAGGAAAGGATTATCGCACAAGATGTCCTGGCTACGTCTTCTAACCTTGAAGCTACTGGCGCCAAACCATTCACGGAATCGACACCGCTTGCTCGACCGAGGCGAAAGCCGAAGTTGCCCAAAGTAGCACTTGCTACGGCCAAACCTTCGTCATCTCTTCCCCCTTCTTCGCCTCTCCCTCCAACATCTGACGATCGACCTATACTTGTCGTGCAGCCCAAGGAACTAGACTGGCTGGATGAGCAGGAGGAAGAGGACGCTGTCGATGATCCCTTCGGTTTCTTGGCCGCGGAAAGGAAGTTGAAGAAGAAACGTGAGCTGATGGGAGGGCCTCACAAGGCGGCTTCGTGGACGAAGCCTGAGCCACCGGACGGGGTGTACGGGATGCCGGCGGAGGAGGTTGGAGACGACCTGTACGCGAATGAAGAGGTGGAAGCATTTGCTGAGGTTGATGGGGACCAAGATGGCGGAGACATCGAACACTCGACACCGCGTCCTCCAGCTACACCTCATAAGCGCGCTGTCAAGCGCAGGTCGGTTGACACTCCATCCAGCTCTGGGCTCCATACGCCTCATACCGGTTCCATGCCATCCTCCCCGTCTCCTTCGAAGATGAACAGGTCCGCAGATCTCAGCAATCTAAGCCCGAACATATCCCTGGCGGGGCGAAAGTCAGCTGGCAAACAGGTACGGAAGAAGTCACGGACTGTGCCTGAACAGCAGGAGTATGACCAAATCATCGAACCGGAGGAGCATACCAAGCGCCTTGAACGGCTCCTTCCTAAGAGAAACCTTCGGCGAAATGCGATCGAGAGTATTAACAACACACGTGGGGGACGCGGTCGAATGTCCACGAGACGAGGGAGTGTTCGAACCACAGACACGGATACGGAGAGTGAGTCTAGAAAGCGAGTAGGCCGTAAGTTGTCTGCCAAGGCTCGTGGTAAGCGGAAGGCAACCCAAACCAAACCGAAGCCCGAGTCTATTGATATGGAGCGAGATGATTCGGAGGTGCGTATCGCTTTGCTAACCTTATGTTCTTAAGGCTGAGGCAACCGTAGGGACGACAGGTGAGACTGGATTACTTCAAGAAGCTGGAAGGATACGAACTACATAAGGAAAATGTCTATGTGGTATGAACTATGCGAGGCTACGGTAGGAGGACTGCAATGGAGCTGTGGACCTTCTGCGCTGGACTGTCTTACTCAGTCGTTTGATTATGCAAGACCTGTACAACGGAACGAAACCTGCCCAGTAATCCGTTTTCCCAAGTTACGACGTTACCGCCGATTCGACCATTCCAGCCAAACAAACCTATTCTCGAGATGGGTAGATAAAGCACAGGACGCGTCAGTTGACCCACTTGGCCGTCTTCGTCGTCAAGATCGGTATTTGAAAGTTATGGTTCACTCTGCGTAGGATGTAATATCCGTGGTACACATACGCCCTACGGGCATCATCTCTTTCCCCCCTTCTCCAGTGGATGGTCAGGTTATCAACACGACGGCTGTATACTGGGATAACTGCAATCCTCGGACCCGAGACCTGGGATTGCCTGGATGCCGATGCGTGTCTCTCGTTTTCATCCCTTGATGCTATGGAAACAACGTCTACGCCCTGCACCAGCCCAGGCTTTCCCTGGAATTCCACAACTGACGACCCTATGGAGCCTACCGCACGGGAAATTCTCGGTAACGAACACACGAACGGACTTCGTGGTTAAGCCAGTTATGAGCAAGGCTGCCCAGCCACCGAGGAAGCGGTATTCAAGCGAGTCTAGCTGCCGCTTTGAAAAGGATGGTCCGGTTCTGCCCAGACAGATAATTGCACTATCAAGCAGAATACCCACCAGCGTAGTAAAGGGGTATGTACGGCCGAGAATGTCATCATACGGGGCCCGAACCTCGCAGAGATGGTCACGACGACACCCAGGCGAGACTGGGATGTACTGGAGCGTGTTCGCCAGTATCACGGACGGGAATATACAGTTGTGAGAGGCATGTATGAGTTCTCTCGTAAGCGATACGGAAATCTAACCATGAACATATGGGACGCGACTCTGTGCCTGGTCTATAAGGTGTACCTCCAGTATCATCACTCGGTAAGTACGCCACACAATCACTCGGGCCGAATGCCAGCATAGATACACGATAGGGCCGACCTAGTGGCTAAAATCTAAGCATAGAGTGAGAAGCCATCACTACACTGGTCCCTGGCACTTTGCAGTCCACCCTCAAACTGCCACAGGATGACTTTCGTGAGGGGTCCAGGTTCTTGACCAGCTTGTGGGAATGAGGGAAAGTGAGTGTCTGTGCATTGCGAACGCTTTACTAAACCTCGCCAGATCACGCCACAGTTCGACATTGGAAATACTTTCCTGACCGCAGGCGCAAGCCCAAGAGATGGCGCTCCCTTGGCGAGTTCCCTGCATCTGCCACCGTTAATGGAGATGATGGCCGCAGAGACGTGAACTATGCTGGGACCAAGATTCGAGCAATTGCGGCGCAATTCGCCACGGTGTGCAGCTCGGAACCCCGTCAAGCCATAGAGCAATTCACGGCTCCAATGCCCATGACAGCCACATCCTTCCAATTCCGGCCTCTGAAGTGAGGCAAGTGTCGAAGCAGTTCTGGATGTTAGAGTTACGACAGGCATTTCCCCATGTTTCTGCACTGTGAAATCGCGTCTGCCGTCGACAAATAGGAACGTGTGCAGCCTTACAGACTGTTGTACACCATGAGATCACGCGCCAAACTGTCCGGCGACCAAAGTCGATGCTCAGTACGCGGGAACTTTTCGGGTCCTGTTTTGCATGTACTCACGCTCAATCAGGGTCGCAAGCTTGGGTTTTGTCAGATCTATTGGATCTCAGCGATGGTGTGCAAATCTTTTGAGCTGTCGTCTCAGAGAATCGTGAGCTTATCCACCTAGCCTGACGGAATCTGACGTCCCTGCTTGAAACATTGCTTCCATAGGCGTACGCACGGAATTACGAGCCCGACGTCTGTGGCGACACCACGGAGCCGTGCTACTCATGTCCAGGAGCAATGAGAACGTTCAGACATCAAGGACAATTAGTCGATGGTGGAACTCTGGCAAAAATCATCAGCTTGACCTCTATGGCTCCCAGGATCAGCGTTTAAGGCAAGATCATTATCCAACTGACTCCAGTACCGTGGTAGCTGACGGGATCGCCACCAGGTCAGTTTAGGCAGTGTGGTCCCAGGTGGATGCATCCAGAAGCGCATCTTACGCACACACAGTACGTTTATTCCAGTTCAGATCTGTTTCATGTCCCCTCCAGATCTCAGTTACGGCAGTCCCGTAGGTTGCAATTAAGCCACGGAGTGGTTCTTCCGCTAACGTTCGCCAATGGAGCGACGTATATTGTCCATCCTGACACAGGTCTATCTCATGACGAGGTCCATCCATGTCTTGGTTATTTCATCCTGTCATCATAATGACTTCGGGAGCCTCGGCACGCAGGTTTCCCCGCTTTGGCGCGGCACCGCGCCAGGTTTAAAGGCTGAAGGGAAATCCACCAGGTTCCTATCTTACCTCCTGAGTCCACGGCGTTCGCCATAGCTTACCATCGCATTACCCATGCCCATGGTCACTCAGCAGTATTGTCTCCCCGATCTCTTTGCAATCTGCCGCCGTAAATGCTCCGTCAATCCCCACTATGAACGTGCTGGCGCGGAGTCTTCAGCTTGGGTAATTAGCCAACAACTGTTTCCCAATAAAAGACGACTCGCGTTTGTACTGGGAAATAACGAGCTGTTGGCCTCGCGTGCCTACCCTCGCGCTGATTACGACAGGCTCAGAACTTGTCTTGATTTCATCAACTTGCTATTTGTGGTCGATGAAATTAGCGATGAACAGTCGGGCGAGGACGCCTTGAAGACCGGCTTAATAGTCATTAAAACGATGCAAGACCCCAGTTACGCTGACGATTCTCAGGTCGCGAAGATAACCAGGGAGTGGGTCAATTGGTGCATGTTGATCCCTGTTAAGCGCTGATTGCAGTACAGGTTCCGGGTCAGGCTCCTTCGTCATGCACGTCCTAATTTCCTGCGCCGCTTTTTAAAAACCTGGGAGGACTATGCCATTGCCTTCGCCCAAGAGGCGGAACTCCGCGAGAACGGCCAAGTCCTCGACGTTCAAGCATACACCGAACTACGCAGGGAGAACAGCGGTGTCCGTCCGTGCTTCCACCTAATTGAATACGCAGCGGGCTCCGACATACCAGACGAAGTTTTCGCCAATCCCACGTTCGAGGATCTCTTTCTATGTGCACTGGACATGATTAGCTGGTCGAACGTATGTTTTGCTTCACTCCTCCTGTTCGCGTCGATCTGGCTTAGCTGCGAACGCTTAGGATCTGTATTCGTATAACGTCGAACAGTCGAAAGGACAAGACGGCAACAACATCATTAGAGTGCTCATGGAAGAAAGGAATCTCAGCTTGCAAGAGGCATGCGATTATGTCGGAGTATACTTTCAAGACCTCATGGATCGCTTCCAAAGTAGCCGACAAAAGCTACCGTCGTGGGGAGTAAAGACGGACAAGGCCGTCTCGGATTTCCTCGATGGCTTGGAGAACTGGGTTGCGACCAACTTGGAGTGGAGTTTCCTCACGCAGAGGTACTTTGGCCCAAGCGTGGCAGAAGTGAGGCAGACGCGGCTCGTCACACTTCAGCCAAAGGTACACGGAAATTCACGCTGAAGCCCGTCCATATGCATATATCTAAGCCTCGCGGAAAAGTAAACTGGCTGTAACACCTGTACATGATGTTGTCGCAGTAAACCTCCTGCTTTCATACTTTCTCGCCTTTAATTCCATTTCTGAGTCACTGCGGGCTGGAACCGTACCCCCTGTATCGCAATATAGCCTCGTCTAATGATGTTCCTTTTATAGTCAAGGGATTGTACTCGTAGTTGCTCGACCCCGCGGCGAGGTTGTTCGTCGGCGCGGTGTTCGCCGCGCCCGCGACGAGCCCGAGGTGCGGGTACGCGGCCGCGCCGTTCTGCCAGCCGGCCGTCAGTGTTCAACGGTCAGAGTGTGGAGCGGAGGACGCACGGACGTAGCGATGTCCAGCTGGCTAGCGGTGGACGCGGAGCTGCAGCTGGACGTGCCAATGGAGACGCGGAGGGCGCCCGCGAGGTTCGTGGAGACGCCGTAGTGGCCGTACGTGGTCATCGCGGCGCCGACGTAGCCGAGAACACTCCCGGTGTCGGCGCTGGTGACTTGGAGGACGCCGGAAACGCTGTATTCACAGGGACACACCTGAGCGGTGCGGTGGGGCGATGCTGGGGAATAAACACGTACGTGGTGGTCGGGCAGGCGGACGGGACGGCGCGCTCGGCTGTTCAATAGTAACAACCACCCACGAAACGAGATGAGCGTCGCAGGCCCGCAATTTCAAAGATGCACGCAGCGCACGTACCGAACCGGAGCTTGGCCTTGTCCGACCGCGGCTTGGGCTTGCGGAGGGGCAGCCCCCGTGCGAGCCGCTGGGCGTTGCTCAAGTCGGCGCGGGGGGCGGGGGGCCTCCTCTCCAG